GTTCATCTAATTTATTAGGTTACCCCTATACTAACTGGTTCAATACACGTAACAAGATTCAAACAAAGACTGAACTCCGGTCATTTATTGTAATACGGTAATCCGTCAATCATCGAACAAAGTTATTCATATTTCAAAATTATAGTAATTATATAACTAATTAATGTTCCGAAAAATGGTGATCATGGTAGAAGTTGTTTATATCTGAATATCGGGAAATGCAGTAAATAGTGTTATAAGGATATGCTTGTATTTTACATGGGTGTGAGACGCTCCGGACCACGTAAAAAAGATGTTACGACCCCAAAACAGGTTGGTCGTTGCGGCCCTGCTATAAATTATATTCAATATCATCCAAACACGGTTGTAATGTCTTTTTTTCACCAGGGCCGTAAGCGACCAGGGCCAGAGCGTCTTAGAAGTCTTTATATGTACTAGATTGTAAGGCTAACCAAAGGCAATGGGCAAAGGTATATTGGAACAAATCAACTTGTGGAAGAATGTGAATTGGGACGAATTGACTGTGAATAGTATGTTATTATGTATTGTTTTATTGTCAAGTATGAAAAAAAAAGATGCAAGCAGGTGGGGACTAAAGGCAAATTGTATATTTTTAAAGCTCTGGATAATAAAAGGGCTTTTTGTACAAAATAAAAATAATGGATCACCAGCATTATTTTAAAATGGTATTCACGTTTGAATAGTTAAATGCTGTGCATAAACACTGATAGAACGTTTTCTCGCGTGAAACGATTCCGCGTCCACTTCGAAGAAACTGTGATGTAGAAAACTGTAACGACCTTACTCAAGTATAATTAAAATATAGGTTTTACAGTGTCATAAAAGTATTGCGATTTTCTATTGTTTTGCAAAAAAACTATAAAAAAAAACTTATTTCTCAGATATAAAAAGAAGTTTTGCTAATGACCTAATTTTATCATGAGACACAAATGGGAGTCGTATTCGTAAGCAAGTGCATCCCTTTACAGTATCATGGTTTCTTGATCAACCACGAAGTGCCCACAGAGCTTCTAAAAAAGAGTGCTTACGTCAGTTTGTCACCTGTAAATGCACGTCGTAGGTTACAGGTTTCCATGTAACCTCTAAATATTATGTTATGTTTGGTGACATTGGACTGTTTAAATAATCAATATTATTGATCATTCTGTCCGTGGACTAACGCCAAAATACACACATGTTCTGAATATATGGACAATCATTCTCATACCGACCTGTTTGTGTTAAAAGCATAAATTTTCCCCGAATCCCGATGACATCGCCGACTAAAAAGTGTGACGACTCTCTTCCCGTACGCCATTTTCCGGCGAATACCGTGAATGGTGAAACGTCTCTATCACGTGACAAACCAAAGGGCACCGAACTTGTTTTACTATCCTCACTTCGGAAAATTAACCGAATCTGTCCGAAGTAATACGAAAGATTCCGAAAAAGTTAAATCAATTTATTTGTTCGCTTTGAATTATTTTTTATCCATTTTTTGTCTACGTGTATTCTTTATAGTATTACATATAATCGTTATTAGATTGTGGGTGAATATCGAGTACGAAGTTGCAGCAATCATCGAATTTACGACGATTCCCGATGAACGTCATCAGGACGTGAGTGCTTCTGAACAACATGGCCGCTACCACAAGAGAAGGTAAGCAATGAAAACATAAACTATGTTATGCGCTTTCTACACATGCAAAATAATGTCAAATTGGAATAGTTATAAAATTAAATTCACCGGGCGTCCCCTGATCATCAAGGAACGCATGAGTTCTATCGAATATAGCTTTGAAACTCGCTCATAAACTCGCAGTTGTGCGAAAACAAAGTGTACGGTTTCTGATCCAAGATGGCGTCGCGTATTCGAGATTTAGAGTTTTTAGTTTTTGTCGCTTCTAAACGTTTGTGATTAATGGAAGTGATTAGAGTGACACCAGCATTGGGTTCTGTGCGTTGTCAATAACATTTGTTGCGCCCAGAATTTCTATTTGACAACGCCATAATTTGAAATAAGTCGTTTGGCCAAAAAACCTGTAGCGCAGCAAAATCATATCGTTTTATTTTTTGGTTAGGACTGTGTGATCATGTTGTTTTTAGGTAGTCAAATTTGCCAATTTGGTGCTGGTCTAGAATAGGACTGTGTAGTAATCTATTGAAAATACTATTTTCACGATAAAAATAGTAAATACCAAATAGCCCTTGATGAATAAACTTCATAATGACCTTAATAATTTGAAGAAGAAGAAAAAACTACACTTAGATTGCATAAACATAAAGAAAATGTCCTAAAATCCAAATTAGAGAACTAGTATTAGATTCACTATGGTCATACTTGTTGTTTCGCATAGGTAAACAATCTATAATGTTACATTTTGATAATTTTGAATTGTGTGTTTAGGGGCAGGTGTGAAGGGTATGGCCTAGAAATATAAAATACAGTGGAAATGGTCAACATTCAGTGTTTCACACCCCAACCTAATTTGTAATATGCATCATGCATTGAACAAAACAAAGTAATTACACCGTTTTACTGTAAGAGGGCAGAAAATATTTCAATTTTATTGCCGCAAGACTATTGTTAACATCCCATGTGAAGTTTATTCATCAGGAACGTGATATTTTACTTAATTTATCACTAATTTTTATCACCAATTCCAAAATATGTTTTATGCATCTCTAATTTCTTTTCAGAGTTGGAACTGCAAATCCGAGAGATTCAATCTCGGAAGGCCAATCTTCAACAAAGAAAATCTGGAAAACTTGATGGAATTAGTGAGATTGAAAGGGTGCAACTTGGTGCAGAAGGACACTTTGATCAAGATATCTATGGTTCTAGTAGAAATAAATATGAGGGTTACGTCACATCTATTGCAACTAACGATGCAGATGATGTAAGTATACTTTCTGCATGTATAGTAACATATGCAAAGGCAGTTTCTTCAAGATTTTTTTAATGTTACCACA